GAGGTCATTAGCAGTGAAAGTGCATGAAATGGAGCACAAACAGCATCACACTGAGGTGAAACTGTTTAGTAGGATTTATCCATCAGTGTCCACCGCATTCATCTTTGTGTCTGACCCTGCAAAAGTTTCATATGTGATATCACAGCATGAGGGCATTTTAACAAATCATTCTGAAAAACTAGATATTGTGGTTTTAGGTGTGCACATACAGTATGAATCAAAGCAACATTTACATTTCTGAGTTCATTTGTACAAATTTGATTTAAATAATCAGTGTTTCCATTTGAATTTACCATAATATTTCATATGCTAGGAATTTTCTATTTGGTGATTTTCACTGCCATTGTAAAGTCATTGACTTGATTGAGATATGCTTTTTGAGCATTCATTATATTGCTTAGGCCTTTATGTATTATTAAATCTGATTTTTCTTTTCATTCCATAGAGTTTTAATGTATTATCAGCACAGATCTATTTTTGAAGACAATGAGTTGTGAATGATTTTGGATGTGTACATAGCTTTACAGTGTTCACTAAAAGAGTACAAAATCACTGCAGCTGGATTTAAACAGTATGCAGTACATATTAGATATTTTTTTCCTGTTTGTAGCCTTTACAGTAGAGACAGTGTAATAAATATAATTTATTAAAATGTATTGAATATTAAATTATTATATGACAATGTATGTTCTAATTGCAAATTAAAAAGATGCATTTCCTCAGTCAGAGTAAATAAATGTCGTGTCTTGAATTTCTATGAAAATACAAATATAATTCCAGTTCCTTCCTATATTTTTGTGTGCAGGTGTTATCATAGTAACATTATAGATTATCAACACAATTATCTCCCTTTTTAATAAAACAAGCTTACATCTCATATGTGGGGGGCCTTAAATTTTAATTTAGGCCTACATCAAGGAGAAAACCGGGATTAATAGACCAGTTTTGTGGGAAAATGTGTATGATGTTTAAAACTTTTTCTGAGATCTCTTAATAAATTAGTAGACATGCAAAAAAAACAAAACAATAGAAAGACTTGGTTGAATGAATGATTCAATGATTCGCTTTTAAAACACAAACATTCATTTATCGCCACCTACTGGCATAACGATGTTACCTGCAGAAAGAGTCAATGAAACAATCACTAAACGATTCAAGTCACTGAAATTAATCAATCCCCTCTACTACAACAGAGTATTTAAAGTTAAAGCGTATATAAAGGCACTGAAACACTTTGCACTTCTTCTTCTTCTTGTAGCGTTTATTGGCGGTGGGCAAGCCAACTTTTGGTGCATTACGGCCACCAACTAAACTGGAGTGTGGAGTGACAGTGAGAAGGCTTTATAAAAATAAATAAATAAATAAAATTACATACAATTATTCCTTATATTCTCATAAAGATTCCCGTGTCTATTAGATAACTTATTCACTTTGCACTTGATCCCACCATTCCTCTTTCAAAACACTGCGCACTGATGACGCGCTTCCGCTCCGCTCATCCAATGGGAAAGCGCGGTTTTAACATGTGGGCTTCGGCCATGTTCTGCTTTTAAATAAGGAAGAAGCGGGAGGCGTTAATGCAACTTTGTGTACTCAATATCTCATTCACAGAATCGCTTACGGCTTCTGAGAAATTCGAGTCAGTTAGGAAAAAATATTCACAACAGATACTAACACACACGGGCAGCTATTTGGAGCTTGCTTAACCTCAGAGGTAATTATTGCTGGGCTGGTTTCTCGCGTGTTAGCAGCTGGTTAGCTGGTTGAGCTAAAGATCAGCGGTGAGGATTTATCTGAACTGGTTTAGTCGTGTTAGAGTGAAGGATTCAGCTACTTTTATCTAACAAAGCTGGTTAGCAGTGGCATGCGGATGAAGGGCAGAGGGAGCCCGCGTTTGGGACTGCGCTGACAGCCCTAACGACTTATCCTGCTATAATCGAGGCTTTCAGTCTTTCATCATGTTTAATAAGTTATACGAATGGATCGGAACCGGAATCGCCAGTCTGCGAAACGGAGCTCCAGCTGGTGGGGTTCATACTGGTTCCGTGAGAGTGGATCAGGACGGGACATTACGGAGAAAGAGACCACTAGACTGGTCTCTTTCTGTGGATCAGGACGGGACATTACGGAGAAAGAGACCACTAGACTGGTAAAAAGATTGTTTATATGTGTAAAAAACTGTGAGCGGATTGCTTACAAGTGCAAGAACTGTCATTTTATTTATTATTTGGTCTTATAATAAAAGTTTAGGTCTTTAAACTGGTTTTTGAGTCATAATGTTTTGATTCGGTCATTGTTTTGATAGGATGATGTTAGAAACGCGTGCGCGTCTGGAGCTCCTGAAAAACTATTAATTTTCTTCTCTTTTGTCGTTTATTTTAGTATATGAATCTATATTGTTTGTGCGTCTGCTGCTTCCAAAAGAAAAAATCTTTTGGAACAAACCTTCAAAAAGCAAACTTTTGAAGTTAATATTATGCTTATGGTATTGCGTTCTCTTATTTTTGTTTAATATGAATGTATTTTTATATATGTATTAATTATAAACAATTAAATAATTTTTCTTAAATATTTGTTACATGTTCATTATAATAAAATACCTTCTGATAACTTACCTGTCTCAATTTCCAGTTTGGAAGATGGAGATGCAGTTGATCAGGACGAGGAGAGAGTGGTGAAGAAATTCAGAATGGGTAAATAACACTATTCTGAATCAATGATAAAAACTGATTTATGCCAATTACAAGAACATTTTGTTGATTGTTCTTTAGGAGATATTATGGATACAGTGAAAAATGCAGCTGAGGGAGTGAAAAGACATGGTTCGAGTGTTGCTTTTTGGATGAAGAACAGGGTCAGAACTAATCCAAGGAACATGTTGCCGACATCACCGGGTCCACCTCAAATAGCAATACCATCAGAACCTGCAGCCAATTCCGCTGCATCAGCATCTTTGTGGGTGGAAAACAAGGTACTTTTTTGCTCATCAAGATCTCAGTGGGTTTACATCATTTCCTTGAGATCAGGTATCACAGAAGAGCAAAAGTTGTCGTGTCCAATTCATTTGATCTAATTCAGACTAATTCAGTCTAATTATTTTTATCTATGCTATATATTTTAGCATGTTTACTTATGTTTTGCTTTTTCTTAAAGTTTGGGGATCGGTCACGTGATATACTTGAGGACACATTTGTAGCTCCCTCTAGTTCAGTTGAATGGAGAACTGTCACAAAATCTGGTAAGGGTAAAAATTGTTTATGTTTTCTGTGTGTAGTTATTTGTTTTTCTTTCTGCAAGTTACATATATTGTCTTTTTCTGTTGTGACAGATTCCTTACGGACTGAACAGTCAGTCACCATATCAAAAGCAAGCAGAAGACAAGTTTGTATGGACCATCCACCCCAAGAGACACACAAAGCTAACGGACACTCTGTTAACTTACCCTCTGCTTCCATGCCAAACCCATCCCCCTCTCCCCGCTTGGGCAGATCCCTGTACCACCGACCACACAGGTTGAATTAAACATAGAATAAATGTGTTAAATCATGACATTTATGTTAGAAAGAGTCATAATTAAATAATTGAATTTAGTTTCTTGTTAAATGTTTTGTTGTTCGATATTATTGCTCCGGTCGCTGCATCAGCATCTTTGTGGGTGGAAAACAAGGTACTTTTTTGCTCATCAAGATCTCAGTGGGTTTACATCATTTCCTTGAGATCAGGTATCACAGAAGAGCAAAAGTTGTCGTGTCCAATTCATTTGATCTAATTCAGACTAATTCAGTCTAATTATTTTTATCTATGCTATATATTTTAGCATGTTTACTTATGTTTTGCTTTTTCTTAAAGTTTGGGGATCGGTCACGTGATATACTTGAGGACACATTTGTAGCTCCCTCTAGTTCAGTTGAATGGAGAACTGTCACAAAATCTGGTAAGGGTAAAAATTGTTTATGTTTTCTGTGTGTAGTTATTTGTTTTTCTTTCTGCAAGTTACATATATTGTCTTTTTCTGTTGTGACAGATTCCTTACGGACTGAACAGTCAGTCACCATATCAAAAGCAAGCAGAAGACAAGTTTGTATGGACCATCCACCCCAAGAGACACACAAAGCTAACGGACACTCTGTTAACTTACCCTCTGCTTCCATGCCAAACCCATCCCCCTCTCCCCGCTTGGGCAGATCCCTGTACCACCGACCACACAGGTTGAATTAAACATAGAATAAATGTGTTAAATCATGACATTTATGTTAGAAAGAGTCATAATTAAATAATTGAATTTAGTTTCTTGTTAAATGTTTTGTTGTTCGATATTATTGCTCCGGTTCGAAAGAGTGTAATAAATGCAAGGATATGAAACTGAAAGGAAATTTGTTTCTGTGTTGTAGCTTTTCGTCATCTCCTAAGACTAGCTCAGGACAAGCCAATTATACCAGCCTATATGAGAAGACCTTTCCCATCCGAGTGGTCCAGAGTCCTTCACATGGCAGCTCTAATCGTCTCTTCCGGGCCAGAGCCCGCTGTACAGCACAGGAGGTCAGACACTTGTTGTACTGGTTTGCTTAATAAACCAAATATTTCATGACATAATAAATGGTAAAATTACATCATTAGACTTAGGACTGCACAATAAGAGTAAAACTGAATTCTGATTATCAAATAACAAGGGCTGTGATTTAATTAATGTGCAGCATGTTTCAGAGTGAAGAACTGTTTTCATTTACACATGTTCCGCTCAGGATATTTTTATTTAGTAGTAGTAATAATAATGTTTATTATTATTATTGTTGTGTAGTCAAATTGATATATAATCGCAATTTGGGCCAAATTCTGTAGCCAAACAAACAATACAGCACATCTGGAGATTGTTGTTTTTTTATTTTATCAGAAAAAATGTTATTAGATTTTTCCCCAGATTTTGCAGCCCTAATTGGACTTTGCTTTTGTTGTTGTTATAGTCGGTGCGTGAGGAAGAAAAGGAGGTTTACAGGCAGCTTCTAGCCGTGGTGTCTGGTGGCCAGTCGACCTTCCTTCACGATGGAAGTTCTCACTCCAGCATTCGCTCGCATCGAGATTTGTGAGTATCTGTGTCGCGTTACTTTAAAACGTGTATTCTTTATGTCTGTGACTAAACCTGAGCTGTTTAAAGGGATAGTTCAAAAATTAACATTTTATCATTCTGTTGCTCACCTCATATCATTCCAAACTCATAAGACTTTTTCATTCATCTTCAGAACACAAATGAATATTTTTTATATAATTTTTTTTATATTCTCTCATTATTATTGACCATCCACTGAAAGTCCTATAGTTCCTGTAGATCAAGCAGTTTAATCTTAAGTCTTCTGAAGAGACACAGTCACTTTTTATTAGAGATGTAACGATGCACCTTGAGCCTGTTGAAAATCGATACAAACATATAACTATTAAAATCGGTTGAGATGTTAAACGAATCACGATTCATTTGGGGCTGGGAGTTTATAAGAATGTATCTTTGAGGGGAACTGACTGTCTTTAGAAAAGTTTAGATGATATTTTCTTTTCATCTGTATGATGCATATTAAACTGATTTAAACTATTATAGATCAGTGGGTTCATATGTGCAGCACTGCTTTGTTTACAGTGGTAACCAAGGAAACGCTGTATCGCTGCTGTTCCATAAGTGCCATCTGCTGTCAGAGAGTGAATTTGCGTCTCTTTCAGTCTGTCAGCTGTTCAGATGTTTTATGTCGCATAATTTCACAAATTTTAAGTCAGACCATTCTGTTTTTGATTCAGATTTCGAATTTATATAATCTAATTTAGATTAAAACTGACGAGCTGCGCAAAACCACGTTCATATTCGTGCGATTTTTTTGCACAGCTCGTCAGTGAACAACGGTTCTGTGTAGTTAATGTTGCTCAATGTGAAAGCACGCACATGATGGAGATTTACCGCTGATTACAGAACCGGCTTTCTGACAAGATGCACATTAAATATCGCATGCGATTTATCGTGCAGCCCTAATCATGATTAAAATACAGTGGTTGCCTCTAACTGAATGGAAAGAGCACAGACAAAGCCTTAGTTTGTTTATATGAAGACAAAACTAAGTATCAAAACTACAACTGTATTGCGATTCGTTTAATATCTCAACCGATTTGAATCGTTACATATTTGTATCGATTTTCAACCGGCTCGCGGTGCATCATTACATCCCTGTTTGTGTTTATTTGATTTGATTTGTTTTAAAATTTCAATTTAGTTTTGTTATTTGACATTTCACAAAGAAATGTTAGGCATTTTGTCCAAACAATAATAAAAGGACATCTTTTCATTTGGAATTTGTCTTAAATCTCTTTAAAAAAAAAAAGCGTCAGAAAATCGTATTGTGAAATCAGTATCATGAATCGTTACATCCCTACTTTATATGATTTAATTTAGGCTTTTATTCACATGAAAACATTAATCAGCACACATGCATAGAGCTCATCAAATATGGTAAACACAGAAGCTCAGCTGTGCTTAATTGACATGCAAGAACAAATCTCATTGGTTCTTGCCGAAGCACAAACATGCTTGCATCACATCAGTACAAACCTCATTGGTGGTTGCTCGTCAAGCAAACATGTTTGATCTTCTGTTTATCATATGAATCACTCCGTTCATATGGATTGTTAACAATGTCTTCATGAACTTTCTGAAGTTTTGGTGAAATGGGCTTTAAATTATGGGCCAGATATTTTCGAAGATGAAAGTTATGGATTTTGATCAACCTGAGTGTAATTGACAGAATTTTTATTTTTGGGTGAACTATTCCTTTAAGATAATTTTTGATGGTTTCTCTTACTTAGAGCGAAACATTTGGTCTCATTTCAGCTCCAGCTTCCTGTCGTCTAGTCGAAGTCGTCTTCAGTGTGCCTCTCTAGCAGGCTCTGATGCTGGAGTGTCATCCTACGGGTTATCCAGTCCGCCTCCCAGCCCCCGGCCTGGGTCCAGCCAGACTTCCAGTGCCCTTCCCAGTCCTGGTGCGTCCTTTAGCATTCCAGAGCCTCAGCTATGGGTCCATGACCTTGAGCCCAGTACTAAAGGATCAGCTGTTCCCTCAGCTCCATCACCAGCTGCCCTTCAGGATACCTCCTCTCAGGACACGCAGTCATCAGGTGAGTCCCATTTCTCTCTTTCTTTTTCATGTTTGTAATGTAATCCTGGCTTAAAAGTTGACTAAGTACTGTTTCACTTTCTTAAGCTCATGACGGAGATTCAGTCATTTTTGTGAAGGAGCAGCAGGGGAAGAAGCATGAAAGCTCAAGGTAGCAGAACATTTTTAGTTTATCTTTTCATCCGTTTCTTTTTTTCTTTACATAACCCTATCTTACCCTTTCTAGTGTGCCATGCTTCCAGGCTGAACTGTGGATCAAAGAACTGTGAGTACTTGTTTTCTCTTGTCTAACATGTACAAGTATCAGTGCCTTTAGTTTGTGGTAATGAATAGCTTCTGAAATCGTCCATATTTGTTGTGTATTTTCAGGACTAGCCTCTATGACTCTCGAGCTCGGGAGCGACAGAGGTTGATTGAAGAGCAGGAGGCTCTGGCCTCTCAGCTCTTGCGCCAGGTGAGTAAGTTTCCCCTCTTTTTATGCTACACCTGCATTTTATGTGACTAACCCACTCATGTTCTCATTTGTATCATCAGCGCCTCTCTGGAGAGGGTCGAGCCGCCCCAGCGAGCATTGAGCTAAAGCTTCGAGTTCCTCTAGAGAAGGAGGTTCCTGTTGCAGCTGTTATCCAAACGCCTCAGCCTATTAAAGAGGAGCCAGAATTCCCAGAGTTAACAGAGGTAAGTGCTCCTAACTCAATACAAGTGCTCCTTCTGTGGAATACAAAAGTAGGTATTTTGAAGAATTCAATTCAAGTTTATTTGTATAGTGCTTTTTACGATACAAATCGTTGCAAAGCAACTTTACAGAAAATTAAGTTTCTACAATATTTAGTAGTAGCTTATGGCTGTCAGTTTATGTACATATGGCAGAAATGTAGGGAAAAATCAATTAAAGACGTAATCAAGAATGTTGGTAATCAAACAGTTTTACCATTGATTATTTTTCAAAATATCTACTCTTACGTTGTAAATAAGTCATATAGGTTTGAAAATACCATGATGACAGAATTTTCATTTTTGAATGAACTTTTCCTTCAAGCTAGGGATGTTCATTTCGGTTATTTTTCCTAACCGACAACCGATGCTCGTTAACCGATTGTTAACCGTTACCCGACAAGATTATTTTAAATTAGAATTGAATTAAATTAGAAAGGATTAGTGTCTGTGACCCGTTAAAAAATACTAACATTTGTTTCCCAGGGATTAATTTTACATGCGCAAAAAGCAGCAAACAACAGAACATGAGGATTCACAT